TCTCTCTCTCTCTCTCTCCTCCCCCCCCTCCCCCCAATCAACACAACTGTTACCTCTCTCTTTTTCCCCTTCTCCCTTTGCCTGGATAGGCAGTTACACGCCTGGACTGTCGAGTTCCCTGCCTTCTCAAAGATCATAATTGTGTCCAGAGGGGTGTAAAACATTTTTAAAATCCTTTTTTCTTTTTGCTCTTTCTTGTGGCTGATTAGGGTGGCTCGCACTGGTACGACAACCTGGGGCCAGATCAGGACTGGATGGAGCCCAGTGTACCAGAGTCGGAGAAACGGTGAGAAGCTTGGTACCTTAATTAATAATAATAATGATAATAATGATGATAGTAATAATAATAATATATGACTTTTAATTTGCACTCAACCACGATTAAAGTACACAGGCTCTGAGCGCTTTACAATACAACATTATTATAATACATTATGTTCTGACCAAAAAAAATCTCTCTGAATATTCATCTCATCAATTAAAAATTAAAAATGACTTCCACTGACATTTAAATGAATCAAAGGATTTTATCTGGAGATTTTATCTTCCTTAAACTACCGGACGAATCAGAAATGGCAACAGTGCTACTTCCCTGTCTTCCAGTTGTTCCTGTCTGTCTTTGTTCTTCCTAGTGCTAGATGACACACTTGCATATTTAAATTGGACAATTTATTTATTATGTCTCAAAAGCAGTCAGTTACTTTGATCTAGTTATGCCGAAAAATGTATTCTGTCACAAATATATTGAATAACCTTAAAGGGAGGTAAGGTGGGTGGTTTGCAGACGCTCTGATGTGGTTTGCTCCGTCTTTCTTTTCAAACATCTTTCATCGTTATCTCCCCTCCTCTTTAGTTTTATTAAGAGTTTTACGGCACTTGCAACACAATAAGGTCATATAAGTGCCGGAGATTGAAGGTGTTACAAGAGAGTAACAGGCACAAAAAAGGAGAGATAAGGACAATAGATGTTTGATAGGAAAAGATGAGCAGACCACCTCTTTTTCCTTTGTATGTTACTAGTAACATCTCTCACCTTTGGCACTTATGTGACCTATTTGGGTTGCAAGTGCCATCATAAATCACGTACGAGTGGGTGGTTGGCGGGTGCTCTGGTTTGGTTTGCTCCTTCTTTCCTGTCAAACATCTATCGTCTTTACCTCCCCTCCTTCTTCTTTGTGTTTGTTACTCTCTTGTAACACATTTAATCTTCGGCACTTATATGACCTTATTGTGTTGCAAGTGCCATAAGCTCTTACTAAAACTAAAAGAACTTGTACTAAAACCAAAATTTATAGGGAGTAATGATGCTGACTGACAAGGTTCCTCTCTGCTCGTAGGGGTTTGAAGGAACACCTGAGGAAGGAGAGCATGACTATCACCCGAGCCAAGGCCTTCTTGCACAAACAGAGGAGAGCTCTGAAACAGCGGCAGTCGGCACTGGCGGCCGCCAAACAGGAGCTGGTCAAGGACACCCGACGTCACCAGCAAGGGGTGAGTGACTGACAGGGTGGTGGATTGGGGGGGGGGGTTTGTGGTTTTTGTTTGTGTCGGGGTTGTTTTTTTTTACATTGAGCTGATATCACCAGCAAGGAGTGAGTGAGTGAGTGAGTGAAAGGGTGGTCGATTTGGGTATTTTTGTGTTTTTTGGTTTGTTTTTTCTTTGTTTTTATTGAGCTGATGTCACCTGCTAGGAGTGAGTGAAAGGGTGGTCGGGTTTGTTTTTTTGTGTGTTTTTGGTCAACCTTCATTACCAGCAAAGGGTGGGTGACAGGGTGGTGGACTTTCTTCAGGGCTTTTTTTGTGGGGGGGTTTTGAAGGTGGGTTGCAAGTGCCATCATAAATCACGTACGAGTGGGTGGTTGGCGGGTGCTCTGGTTTGGTTTGCTCCTTTCCTGTCAAACATCTATCGTCTTTACCTCCCCTCCTTCTTCTTTGTGTTTGTTACTCTCTTGTAACACCTTTAATCTTCGGCACTTATATGACCTTATTGTGTTGCAAGTGCCGTAAGCTCTTACTAAAACTAAAAGAGTTTAATTGAGCTGATGTCACGAGCAAGGGGTGAGTGAGAGAGTGGTGATTTTTTAAAATTTTGGTTTTGTTGAACCGACACCACCTGCAATGGTTGAGTGGTAGTGGGGTGGCTTTTGTTTTTATTGAATGACAGCGCCTTCAAGTTCTGAGGGACAGGGTGGTGGATTTTTTTTTGGGTGTGGGGGGGGGTTGGCGTTGAACCGACATTACCAGCAAGGCGAGAATGATAGTGTGGTAGCTTTTGAATTTGTTGAAGCGACATCTCCAGCACTGTATGAGTGATAGAGTGGTGGCTTTTGTTTTGTTAAGGTTTTGTTAAGAGCTCTGATCAGCAGCTGGGAAATTTGAGCTGAGATTAACGAAGGATGACTGTGGGTGGTTGGCAGGTGCTCTGGTGTAGTTTGCTTCTTCTTTCCTATAAAAAATCTATCGTCCTTTTCTCCCCTCCTTTTTTATGTTTTTTACTCTCTTATAACACCTCTAGTCTTCTGGCGCTGATAAGACCTTATGCAGTTGCGAGCGCCGTAAAACCTCTACTAAAAGAAACAAACAAGAAGAATAACTGGTTGTCATTGCTAGAGACAGGATAGATACGTTGCTGTGGGTGATTGCTCCTTCATTCCTATCAAACATCTATTGTCCTTATGATTCCTCCCTCTGTTTTGGGTTTTTGACTCTCTTGTAACACCTCTAGTCTTCTCACTTATTTGACCTAATTGTGTTGCAAGTGTCGTAAAATGCTTACCAAAACACAAAAAAGGATGCATTAGTTTTCTTAGATCAAGGTTTCTTGTTATAAATCCATTTTGTAGGTGGTTGGCGTGTGCTCTTGTGTGGTTTGCTCCTTCTTACCTATCAAACATCTATTGTCCTGATCTCTCCTCCTTCTTTTTTGTGTTTGTTACTCTCTTGTAACACTTTTACTTCTAATCTTCCGCACTTATATGACCTTAATGTGTTGCAAGTACCGTAAAACTTTTAATAAAACTATACGTAAATCCATGTTGCCAGAAGGGCTCAGCTCAGAGTGCGGAGCTACTGGACCAGGTGCGGGAGAGTCTGGAGACGGAACGCCACCACATCGACGCCCTACAGTCGCAGGTCAACTCAGGGTCACGTCTGCTGGTCGAGAAAGAGGAACAGCTCCATCATCTGGAGCATTTGGCGAAAGAGGTAAGACGGCTTGGGGTTTTGGTGAGATGCAGCCCTCTTCTGAGTTGTGTAAAACCCTGACTATTGATAATGATTTGTTGAAAGAGGCAGGAGCTATCTGTGTTTATGCGCTGTTTTAACTTTTTTTCTCTGATTCTATTATTCAGTGCATTTCCATCTTGTTTGTTGATAAATCCTGCATCTGTAATTTGTTCCAAGTAGCGCTAGCGCATTGACAAAGAGCACCATTTTATTAAAAAATCTTTGTGTGTGACTTCTAAAGGTTTTTTTTATGTAGTCTTACTTGATTTCTTAAATGATCTAAACCATGTGGATGTGGACTAAGAAAATCTACAAATTAAAAGAAGAAAAAAAATTCTGGCTTGATATGCTTTGAGCTCAATATTTTTTTTTGTCTTAGGACGAGAGTGAAGAGGAATCTGAGTTTTCTCCGTTTCAACGGCCTTGGCAGAGGGTGAAAGTACCTAACCTTGACCTCAGCGAGGACGAGAGCAGTGGGGTGAGCAGCACGGATGCCAGTCTCGACAACTTCCTGCACGGTAAGTTGTGGGTGTGTCAGGCACCGTATGGTTGCTCATCATAGCAGATAGGTCAAATATTTTCCTGAGCTTGAATGTCCAGGATCTGTAAAAATATTTCTAAAGAATTCGAAAGTTAGTGGTGAGGCTACCGGACTCGTAATCGTGAGGTTGCGGGTTCGGGGATTCGAGCCTCGGACCCGTCGTTGTGTCCTTGGGAAAGGCACTTTTCACAAATTTTCCTCACTTCACCCAGGTGGGAATGGGATTGTCAGTATGTTGGTGTTTATCGCCTATAAATGGCTGCTTACATTGTATGCTTCCCAGGAAGTTGAGGTTGTTTCAGAATGCTCTCAGGTCTGCTGGGGTAATATTATAGAGATTGTGATGGGCATAGAGCTTGCTGTTGAGCGGGGATTTGCGCTAAACAAAATGCTATCTATTATTATTATTGTTATTATTAGAATTTTATGCCACCCAATCCTTACAGGCATGAATGTTGGCCAAAAGACCACATTTAGAAAAAATAATAAAAATGAAGAAAATAACAAATTTATAAGTTATGCATCACTAAGGGGAGGGGGGCGACTGCTGACATCTTCCACAATATCTGTGTTTTTTACTTAAAAGTCTTGTCTCTTTTATTACTTGATAGGCTTATTTAACATCTGTGCTAGAGAAAAAAAAAAGAATTATGCAGGAGGGGGGGGGGGGGATTTTGACACCTTCCACATTGTCTGTTTTCTGCTTTAAGTTGTTGTTTGTTTTTTTTTATTACTTGATGCTGATCAACTGTACTTTGGAAAAAAGTTTTCTTTCTACCACGATTCTGTCATGTCAGTAAAGCCTGAATTCTGAGGAGTTTTTTTTTGTTGTAATCCTCACTTAATTCCTCAAATCTTCTCCTGCTTCCTGTGAAGGTCACCGACATGGAGGTCAGCCCGCCCCATCAGCGTTGTTCCCTACTACCGGCAACGAAGACCTGACTAAAGCTCTGCACAAAATCAATTCCGAACTGTCCCGGGTCCTTACTTTCATTGACAAAGACGGTAGGTAGCCCCGCTGTGTTTGTTTGTCTGTCCGTCTGTCTGTCTGTCTGTCTGGCTGGTTGGCTGGCTGTCTGACTGTCTGTCTGTCTGTTTGCCTCTCTCTCTCTCTCTCCCTCTCTCCCTCTCTCTCTCTCTCTCTCTCTATCCCTCTCTCTCTCTATCCCTCTCTTTCTCTCTTTCTCTCTCTCTCTCTTTCTCTCTCTGTCTCTCTCTCTCTCTCTCTCTCTCTCTCTCTCTCTCTCTCTCTCTCTCTCTGACGTAATTTCTTAACTGTCTCGGATCCTTACTTTTATAGACAAAGATTAATGAAAACCTTGCATTCTGTCTGTCTCTCTCTCTTTCTGTCTCTTTCTCTCTTTCTCTCTCTCTCTCTCTCTCTCTCTGTCTCTCTCTCTCTCTCTCTCTGTGTCTCTCTCTCTCTCTCTCTCTCTGTCTCTCATTGCACAGCACACTTTGTTCAGTTTCAATCATTTATTTTATTGTCTCAGGTAGCATTTTATCTTTTCAAAGTTTATTTTTCTCGCTATTATATATTGTATCTTTTTATTTTATACAGTCCATTGTCACTTTAAAGAAAACAACTTATTTGTGCTGGTCTTTTTCTTTATCTATCAGGGGTTTTGAGTTTTTGTTTGTTTCTTTGGGGGTTTTGTTTGTTTGTTTGCTTCTTGTGTCTCTTTTCTTTGTCTTTTCTCATCTTGCATTGGACTTTTCTTTTTTATTGTATAATTTCTTATCTTGTATTCTTTTTCATTGTATAATTTCTTATCTTGTCTTGTTTAATCTTTCCTTAATGTTGTTTTCTTTATCAGCTTACGTCTTGTAGATTTTGTAGGTGTTTTAAAATCATGTAGCTTTGTATATTATTGCCTCTATTATTTCATATGTCGTTTTCTTTGTTGCAAGTGCCGTAAAACTCTTACTTAAAAAGAAGAAATCATTGTTTAAATAAGCCAAAAAATCATCTTTTTAACTCTTGGTCCCTCACTGTTTTCTGTTCAGACAAGTCCGGCACTGCGTCTCCAGCCCCTCCGTCCAGCCACCACTACAGTGGCATGCCAGAGGCTGTGCAGTGGAGCCCTCATCCTCCTGTCGGGTAAGATGTAATAAAATCTGTATTGTCCAGATGCCGGCACATCAGTTAGGTGTTTCACACTCACACACATACATTCATGCACACACACACATACACACACATTCACACACACACACATATTCACACACACATACACACACACATTCACACACAGTGCACGCGGGTGCACACCTATACACACACGCACACACGTACACACACATACCTACACACACACACACACAATGACATTGTGCCAATGCCGAGGCTTGAGTCACCCCTCACTGTTGTAACATAAGTGTGTTTTCTTTTTCATTCTACGCCTTCATAACAATTTTGTCCTACATTGAAGAAGGTTGTGTTTGTGTCGTTTCCTTCGCTCTACAAAATGAGTGTTTTATGTGATTTTCATACAGGCCCATGGCCTTAAACTCTGAACTGACTTACTTATTTAGTTACTTGCTGTTGTTGCAGGCCTCCTCCCAAGGACTACTCCACCATGGTGCACACGGCAGAGCAGTCTCTGGAGCGTAAGTGGAGGAAATATTTTGGTGGTGAGTAACCTGACACCTTGTTGTACAAAGCACAAACCAGAGAAGTCTAAAGGCTTAAAAAAGGAAATATTGCTCGCAACCTGGCAACAAACAAATTTAATGTAAAGGCTTTAAAAAAATAATATTGTTGATAGCCTGAGGACTACTTTTGATGGAAGGAGGGAGCTATTGGCAGATCCTACTTCTCTGCTTTCGTTTTGTTGTTCCTGCCTATTTGCTTTTCCTGTGCACTTTATGGCTTATCGTGTTGATGTGTTTCTTTCTACTCGATACAGAAAAACAAAGTCTGTCACTGTCATCTGCTCCTTCTCCATCTTTTCAATTGCCTTTAACTTAATTTGTTCTTAATAAGATGTGGCTGTTATTGTGCTGCCTACAATAACATACAACTCAACAATAACCGTGGCAGCGTCTAGCATTTTACGTAAATACCTTCTTTGATTTTTTTAAACAGAATATTTTTGTATTCTTTCAGATCGCAGACCTCCTTACACTTCCAGCCCATCGTACCACACTTCCTCCCATGGTTTTGGCCATGCTTCGCTATCTGTCAGGTATACCTCTGCACTGAGCTCAGTCATATCATCCAGCCTAAACACAAACATTCACATGTTTATAAACGCCTGCAAACACACACACACGAGAATAGACGTCTGCACACACACACATACTCATAACACATTCGCTTGCACACACAAACACACACACACACACACACACACGTAAACACACATAATGGCTTCATCCTTGTTTCCATACAATGTTATTGTGTTATGAACCAACCTGTATATAACTATTCCCCTCCCCCCCCACCCCCCCATTTTGCACTACCCCGTACAATTACCAATTTGACTCGTGTAGAATTGTAGAAGTATTGTTCAAGGCATCCCAGAGTATGATAGTATCAGGACCCATTAACTCACTCAATCTTGGAATTTTTCCCAAAATTGTACCCAGAAACCGGTCTATTTGGCACTTATGTAGGGGCCCACTAGTAACCATAAATGTCGTCCAATTGCTTTGAAATTTGCACGAAGTACAACGTAAGATGGATCTTTAGACATTCCAAATTTGAAGTATGTTAGCTTCAGTACTTTTGCTTTGAGGTGTTGTACAAATTTGCCAATTTTGGGGACTTTTTTTTCCTTGGCCGAATGAGCAAGAGTAAGCCCACATTGATATTCAGATAATATGCTTGTGAGTGTCTAGATCTATATATTGTATGTCATGTGTAATAAAGACGTGTTGAATACTTTCATGAATAAAAAAAAAATGTATGTGTGAGAAAGGCAGAGAGAATCAATTGCTACACATGCTCAGCGGAAAAATGTTCTGAGAATGCCTTCATAAAAACCGCGATTTCTCCGTGTGAATGACCCAGCTCCCCTCTAGGCAGAATTAGCCGTGGAAATAATAAATTGACCTTATATAAAATTTGAAGCCGTTTTCCGAAACGAAATAACTAGTATACAGAACAAAACTATAGAACAGAGTTATCTCGGTGATGGGATTGAACGCAGCCCACGAGCTAACGGAGATATCTCGGTCACTGGATTGAGTTAATTAAAGCAGTGTGGTCAACAAACTACATCCTGCAGGCAACGTTTAGTATTTATTGGTGGGATGGTAATAATTATATAGATTACAAAGCACATTGGGCTTTCTGTTGAGTCGGAATTTGTGCTATAAAAATTTTATTTATTATTATCATTACAGCTTGTGGCTAAAACTCTGCACAGTAGAATTAGAGCTAGGTTATTAGTGTGACGTACATGTAATGCCATATATGCAACCAGAAGCGGAAAATTTTCCAACTTCTGTGACGTATCCCTAAAAATTACGCATTTTCAACGGTGTTACCAATGAGAAAAAAAAGAAAATATTCACGGTGTTGGATTTTTAAAATTTTAATTCTGTACCCAGGGACCGCCACTTCCGAGTGAGTATGCTGGACTCTCGACCCCCGATGCCCTCAGTCCACTCCCAGCTGATAGAGCAGAAGGAGTGGCTGAAGCAGCACCACAACCGGCTGGACAACAGCACCGGCGCCACCTACCTCAACACACACACCGCCTGGGACTCGGCATCTGCGTATCCTTGACTGGAGCTGGCTTACCTGAGCTTTATTAGTATCTATATATATTATATTTGTGGAAGTTTGTCACTTTGGTCGCCAAAAAACTTCCAAACCACTTAACTTTCGAATTTGAAAAAATTAATGGTGGTTCAGAATCATTTAAAGGGTGTTCAGTTATATTAAGGAGTCTGAAGTCACTGTAGTTTAATTTTCATTTTTTCTTTAGTTTCGTATAGATCTTATCTTCGGAAAGTCTGTCTTCTAAGACGCCATTGTAGACAAGTAAGGCTTTCGTTCACAAGCAGTGATTCCATAATGACTTGACGATCAATTCTTTTGAGTTCGTTCATCGAACCGGTACCCAGCTAGTAGATATTATTTTTTTTTTTTTTTATAAATATTATTTTTTTAAATTTGTCTTTCTCATAGTCTGGTCTTAAATTTTAGAGGTAGACATAGTTTACAAATTAAGGGTGGATTTAGCTCTATTTAGAACTTGTACATAATTTTTATTATCATTCTGTTTGTTTCAATGCTAGTTTAAAGCTTTTCATTTGAGATTTAAATGGTAGTTTTTATAGGATAGTTACACTTACCTTTAAAAGTGGCTATTAAGCGTTACCTCTGCTCCTTTGTTTCTACCAAACAATAGAAAGTTAGCAGTCTATAAGTTTGGAAAGAAGTAAGTGTCTGGAAGTTGTGTTACATAATTATTATGAAAATGTACTGGGGTGGTGGGGAGGGAGGAGGTGAGTCACAAGAGATGTTTCCCTTAACTTGTGGTGTCAGGCACAGTGGTGGAGGTATGTCGGATGTGAGAAGGGATGGGGCAGCGATGACATCACCAACTCGCTATGGACCGAACATTCGCCTGGAACTGGATGACCGCGATGAGATACGAGTGAGACATTATTAGGACAACAGTGGGATGGGGGGGGGGGTTGTCTCAGAGGTGTTTTGATGCAGCAGTTGCATCTGGTGAGATGAGTTGAGTTGTACAGTGAGCACTTGTGACTGTCTGTGTCTTTGAAGTGGACCGTGGTTTTGGCCATGTTGTTGTTGTTCCATGACTCCAGGATGTTTAGGAACATGACTGTACAGGTTGCTATTTATTGTGTCGGGCGTTTTTGACTGATTGTTGACCAGTTGGATATAATGATTTCCATACAGAGATTTTCAATGATGAAATGCTGAGAGAAGTGTTTTGCAGTGCACTCTGTGCATATTTGTTCAAGCATATCAAACACTTTGATTCACACAAGAAACGTATTCTGGGAGCAAAAATAGAAGGCAATTTGTGCTATAAAAATAGTGAGGAAGGGGAAGACCTAACAGAGATGGGAAAGAGACATAGAAGCCTGGCATGGAACCAGAACGACTCAGGCAAGCAGAATGGCAAGAGGCAGAGAGAGTGTTTTGTTGCAGAAAGGTTGGAGAAGCAGTGTTCAACTACTGGCAAAGCTGAGAAGAAGAAGAAGTCAGGTGGATGGTTGGTGGGTACCTTGGAGCGGTTTTCGTCCACGGGTTTTTTGTGGTGGTACAGGAAATGTGTGGGTGGTGCTCCTGTCTAACCAACACGGAGGTGCCACTTTCTGGCCATTGGCGTAATGCCAGGATTTGTCCAGAAAATGTGCTTCACTCTTTGCTTGTATTCTGTGTGTAATTTGATTCGCACATGCAACACACACACATACACAGACACACACACACGCTCAGACACACACACACACACACACACACACACACACACACACTTAAAAGGACCTGGTGACATCCCTCATAATGCTTCATCTTGCACAGGACATCATTGATGATTCAAACTCTGAAGTAAGATGGGTTGTTACTATTTTTAATAGTTCTCCAGTTGCACGTAACTCTAACGAATATATTGTTGATATGTAACTCTGTATCCATTATGAATTTAATTTGAGTCCAAATTTGCGTTTCCCTGTGTGTTTTATATCAGTTCTAATGAACTTGCCATAATTTAGCCAGGTACAATTGGTTACAATTTTAAAGATTTTATCGACTGTTGTACAGAGAATTTTTTTTCGTTTTTTCTGCTTATTCTTCATTACGTTGAATGTGATGGTTACCAATGATTACCCTTTTGTATTTCTACAAGAACTACTCGCTGTTATCTTCAGGGTTGTGTATACTGTGTGACTTCAATTCATGTTTTGAAAGTAAATGCTGCTTCAAGTGGTGTATCCTGTACATGCAGATTGGGCATTGTACCTTGTATATAAATCATCTTTTTTTGTGTGTGTGTGTGTTATTTAGATAGTTTTGTACAGATTTTACCCCAAACATGTAAACAAAATATTATATTTACTGTCTTAGCAAAAAGAAAGCCTTTCTTCCAATCATCCGGCCTGCCATTTGTAAAAAAATGAGCAAAGCGTCTCTGTGATACTGGCGATATTAGCAATATGTACTCATATACCCTCGTATATGCTCCACTGTTTGGTAGTTTATTATACATCTCTCTGGTTACCTGTCTGTAAGTGAAATCAAAATGTTTTTTAGTGTTTTTTTGTGAATAGTCTCATCATGGATCAAGATCTGATGTTGAATTCCTCATTTAGTTTTTGTAAAGAACTGAATTCTCTGTCTTTATCTTTTCCTTTATTATAGATTTGTAACATTTTCTGAGGAATTCGGTCTTATTACACCTGACAGTTTAGTACATTGATGTATTGTAAGATTTTTAAAAAAATAAAAATTTTTATGTGTTTGGTTTTTTTCGTGTCAAGAATAAGAATTACTTTGATCAACAAAAGTATGTGTTGAGCCTCCTCAGCACATTCTTCTGCTTTTTTGAATCAGTCGCATCGTACTTGAAGGCTGGTTTCTGTTATGCACTGAACCACCCTGATAAGTTCCTCTGTTGTCCCATACAGCTTTTTGGGGTGGACCCGTTGAAGACTTGGGGCCTAGCCCTGCATCTGTCTGGTGGGTCCTCACAGGACAAGCACCATAACTATTGCAATGTAATACTGTCTTCGAGTGTTATTTTTGCAGTATTATAAGGTACTGCAGTTCTCTTGAGTGAGCCTTGGGGCCTAATATCTCACAATCTCAGGACTCCAGTACCAGGTCCTGGGACCTACCCTGTGAAACAAGGGAGGAACCCCGCTAGCGACCTGCTGTGTAGGGGATGGTTACCACTAGCCCGACTCGGCAAACTGCTCAATGACTGCAACTGCTACGCAGGTGGGATAGTCTTAATGTTCGGTGAGTTAAGGACTAATAAATGATGCTCTCTGCATCCTGGCATGTTGGGAGGAATGGGGGTTCTAACCCTTATTAAAAGGAAGAGGGGCTGCCCCTAAGTGAAAGATGCTAGGGGTGGGGCTCCTCATTATTAAAAGATGGAATAGGACACAACGGAGATCCATCCGTATTGAGGATTGTGCAAGAGTGATAATTACTTTGTGCATCAATTCTGTTGTTTACTTTTTTTTCTTCCTTCCACTTCAACCTGAGCCCAGGCCAGAGTTGTATTCAGAATGACCTGTTTTGTTTCCAAAAGGGTGCTGAAACTTGTATAAAACTTCATGTTCAATTTCAGTAACGCAGCGTATCCTTTCGAATTTTTGTGACTTCAATTTGTGTGCTGAGGTTCTAGAAGTTCCTTTTGCTGTACAACAATTATTGCAGTTGGGATCTTTTGACTTGTTCAGGTCTTTGTATTGTTTAACTCTTTATCTCTTGCAAGCCGCTCCCAACGGCTCGCGGTCAGAACCACTGTGCCGGTGAGCGGCTAGGGCGCATTCATTTACAAAGACTTCTACATCAAATTACTTTTGGGCAATTGCCAAAAACAGATCTTTTTACCGGGAGTACTTTCATTAGATGAAGAACTGTCAAAATGGGTTTACTTGTTTTTGATTAGATTACCAGTTTAGTAGCAAATATGTCAATGTTAGATTTCATACCAAAATAAGGCTCCGGCATAGTGGGTTTACCCCCTTCGGAGATAAAGAGTTAAACCTCTGGAGGCTCAGGTAGTAAAAAATGTTACAAAGTGTACAGACATCTCGTGATATTTCAGTGCCTGTGTCGTGACAATACTTTTGTGATGACCAACATCTTGTTTTATCACATGGCCCGTGGATGAATTTGTTTTATGATACTATTTGATGAAAGTGCTTGCAGATGTTGGTAGATACTCTCTGTTATTACGCAGTGCCTTACTCAAAGCACAAATGTGAATGTCCAAACTTTTATTCCCTGCCTCATGCACTTTGTCAAAATGACTTAATTACTAAATGAATTGTGAGGGAAGAAATTGTTAATTTGAAAAAAAACCGGAACAATGACAGCATTAGATTCTGCATGTTTTGGCAAAGTTCTTGCTCACCAATTTTCAATCAATTTGCTTTTGCATCTAAATTATTGTGAAAACAGAGATATTTTTTGGTGTTATATGTTTGCATCATTCTTATGATAATTTGACTGTTTCACTGACATCTCTTATTCCTTTAGGTTGAGACATCATTTTGTGTTCCCGAAATCTTATTTTTTTAAAGTTCTCCATCTGTCATTTTCTTTGATTTGGTGTTTGTGTGTCTTTATAAGTGTATTTGCATTTGTGCTTGTGCGTGCGCTGATGTGTGAAAGTCTTTGCCTGTGAATGCTCATGCGTTTGTGTGCATAGGTGCATGTGTCTGCATGTGAGTTTATAAATGACCATGCTTTTGTATTAAAGTGTGTTTTTTTGTGTGTGCCATGTCTCATAACAAAATTTCCTAAATTGTTTAAAGTTTGGTTTTTTTCTCGCTCTATGGCATGGATTGTTTGATAAGTGTTGTTTCTTTAGAGTAGGTGCTATATTTATTAAGGCGATTAGTGTGCGATGATCTCAGACAGTAATATTAACATCTATTTGAAGTGACAGTCTGGAACAGAAAAGAGTTTTTCAATGGGTGTCTCTTGTGGGATTATGGCATACTAAATTATGGTGTACAACTTAGATGATCCTTTGAGAACGGATAAATGAACCATCTGTACTCAAAGAGTCTACAGCCACCTTAAAACACACTTGTTCGTAGAGCTTTCATTCCGTCCAGTCCATGATTTATATCACTCTGCTAATCGGTGAAATGTTTACAACGTGGTCAAGTTTTTTTTAGCTTTTGAATCAATGTCTCCCAGAAATTGGATTCATTCTTATCTTTCACATAATAATATACTCTCCAAGAGCTGGTTTAAAAAATGTGACATTGACGTTAACTATAAGAGCTGAGTACAGAGACAGAAAATGAAAAGTTGTTGGTTCAGGAAGGGATTTTAGTTTCTTGTCCATGAATGAGGGATAGTTGACAGGACTGAGATCTTGCGCTACAATTTTATCATATTTTTGCATTATTTGACTGATTCTAGTGTGTGTGTGTTTTGTTGTCTCTGAACTTCTGTTTTCAATTGTCCTCAAAAGTCGCTGTCAGTACTACTTTCCCTCTTATATTTTTACCCTACTATCAAATTATAGTCAGTCCTGATCAGACTTTTGTTTTTTTCATTCGTGAGCACCAAAACTTTTTTAAAATTTCTGTTTTGTTCTGCATGCACGTCTTGAGATTTTTTTTCTCTTTTTTCTATGTTGTGTTTTGCCTTTGAATCGTCCGATTTGTCGTAACAAACGTACAAGACCCACAGAAAGCAAATGAACAAGTGTACATACTGTATAAGTCAAGCCTTATTTTTTTCTTCATTTGTAATATAGTATTGAATCCACCGATGCACATCTATTTATAAACTGTGTGTATATGAGTATGTGTAGACAGTGCGACTGTGTAAGAGATGAACATGGGAAGTGGAGGTGCTGACTGCCTGGTCACGTGTCTAGCCCTGTACAGGAAGGGGAAAGCGCAGATTTTGTAAAAGAATACCTATCGTACATTGACTGGTTCCAGTGCATTGGGATTCTGTGGGCAGCGGTCATTTGAATGTCCACTTTTTTCAAAAGAATTTACGTTTTGGGCTGTTGTCCTCCTAGAAATGATTTTCCAAGTCCAAATTGAACTTTATTTATCCAAAAGGGAAAACCTCAAACTTTATGTTTCTGTGGTAACTATGTGCGACATTAACCGATTACTAGGTCTCAAATTTAGTTTTTATGGTACCAGAATGTAGGAAGGCAAACGTTTCAAATCCCTACAGAGGCAGTGTTATACTTTGGGTATTTGAGGATTTCCCATGGCTCTCTGCTGTCAGGAATAGATTACCATTATCTGTGATGTAGCAGTGAAGCACTTTGCTGCCGCACACTGGACATCTGAGTTCATTTCTCAGTTGGGGAGAATTTTTTTTATTCAGTATCTCAGTCTTTCTGCTGGGATATTGTATCCATCTCCACATGGGTAGTCCTGATAGGCAGGGTTGTAAGCTCACCTTCTGAATGATCTAAACTGTGTCATTTGGGGCGTAAAAACAACTTCTTTTTTTTGTTTGTTTAAAGAGGTAGATTAAGTAAGTGGAATTTCTACCTCTTTCATTTCACGAATACCTCACCACACCCCAGAGATCACAAGTATCGAAATAAACATGTCGTGAATTAGAACAGAAGGGTTGTGTGGTTTCATGAGCCTATTCTGTTTGGTGTGTGTGTGTGGACGTAACAACATGTTTTGAGTTTAGAAGGGTTTGAATTTGTCATTTAACTTTAAGAACTCATTGAGATGGTGATAATGTTTTATTTTTAAAGGTCTCATCGAGGGGTAAAGGGTCCCTGAGGAACCAAGGTTCCTTTCTTCATTGCCAAGTTGTTTTTTTCTGTTTTCCTTAGCATGTTTCATGTATGGACTTGTCACTTGTCCCTTCTCAGATATCTTGTTTTGTTTAGTTTTTTACTGGTTTACTTCCCTATTTCAACAGTTTTTCTTGCTCTCAATAAATGGGATTCCAAAGTTGAATGAATTTACTACAGAGCAGGTTTCTGTATTATGTGTGCAAAACCAATTGATAATGATGATATTCAGCCAATGATGTGTCACTGGGTGATGATTGTGCTGCGGCTTTCATACAGAAAGTACGAGGTACAGTAGCACAAACAAGGAACAAATGTTGTATATATACAAGTTTTATTCTTGTAGATATTGGTCAAAATGTACAAAGTACGTTATTGCATGCTATGGCATAATAATATGAATAAACAAATCATATTTACAGTATCAGCTCAAGACTTTTGATTCATCTTTGTCATTTCAAACAGTTCCCACACTCTTTTTTTTCACTATTTTGAAAACTCACTGGATGTCCCAAATCCTGGGCTGCGTAATTTTTAATTTACGTGATATACATGTGTATAATATTGTTGGTACAAAGTGCAGGTATACATAAATATATATAATATTTGTGGTACACAGTGCAGGGTCAAAATGGCGCCCTTCAGTATCGATGGTTGTTTCTGTCTATGTTACAAGTTACAGTAAAGAGTACATAACAAGAGGGTCCACTCCTCTCTTTGAGCCAATGAAAAAAGTGTCCTCAAAATTCGGTGGCGCCCTCTTCGCAAATGCGCCACCTTTGCGAACAGAGTTACCCTACTAGTGTTAAAAAATCAAAGTGAAACCAGCAAGGTTTTGAATAAATAAGAATTCAAATTTCGGAAGAACGCTTTCTTAAAATGGTTACACTGACAAAAAACCTCTTCCGGAGGAAGGGGTGACTGTTTTCTTCGTTTAATTTGACCTTAGCATGAAATGTCATTAAAATTTTTAAAAACCTAAAACTCCGCACTGAACGAACCCGAACAGCTGATGAACGGCAGTCGATCAGCACACGTAAGGAGGTGCTATTCCTATTCTTCTTCTGGAGAAACGAAAGAGAACTTCAAAACAGACTGCAGCGCCATCTGAAGCTAAGAGCGGACTTCCGGCGGACACTTTTTTGGCTGAGTGGACCATCTTGTTATGTACTATCTTTTGTTACAGTACAAACTTATTGTTCAACAGTTTGGGTTGCCCCAGAGCATTCCATTTTCTATACCACTTTTGAGACAACCTGAATACTCCAGTGTCTTTTGTTGTGACTTACATTTACATAGCGTGACTGCTCGAAGGTTAACTGATTTTATTTATACATGAAATATGTATATATACACATATTTACACACACACACACACACACACACACACA